ATATTATATTATATTATATTATATTATATACATAAGAATAGAAAGCCTAATACTGTAATTTCTGGACTTACAAAGACTTCTAACAAAGAATACCCCAAATCAATATAACAAAGGTAAGTCAAAAAATGGTCTTACCCATCTGCTCTTTGAGCTGTGATATTTCTGAAAGAAATTAGGTTTCTACAGTAAAATAGCATTTTTTAAAAAATGTGTAATTTAAAAAATTACAGCTATTTATTTCAATAAGGCCATTTCAAGTTTATTATCTGTTATTCTATGTTCAAATCTATTATCTAATATGGCTTTATAGAAGGTGTAACTAGTTTTTCCCCATGGTACCTTAAGAGCTATTTGAAAAAATTCAGAAGAGTTTACTAAGCCTCTGCAATGAGTTATCGTCGTTTTCTCTCAGTGACCAACATAAAAAATATTTAAACAAAAAAATTTTTTTTCAGCAAAAAAATTACCACTGATATTTCCTGAATTCATCTTTCATCCGGATCAGAAAGATTTATTAATGGAAATCAGTGTAAAAAAGCTTCTTTACTTACCTTTTTCAAGTTCACGTTTTGCATTTACTGTGAATAGAAGGAAATATGTCATAATCCCAAAGAAAATTCTTAAAGCAGTATCATTTTTTAAAGACTATACGAAAAGACTCCACTTTGTGACATCCAGCTTTACTTTCTTTGCCGTTTCAAACTCAGAGAAACTCAGGGACCAACAGCTAAAGTTATACTTTGTGGATGATTTATTTTTAATAATAATAATGATTTATTAATCAGGATTATATTATGAGTTTTATTCCACACGTAATAGTGAATCTTTGACAGCTGGCAAAATTTTGAGAAATGGATGACAAGTGTTTTAGAGACGACCTAGAGCAAATTCTAATGCAATTCAACAGATTTGTTCCCAGATGTTTAAAATTTTATCCCCAAAACGTTTTCATTTTTACACAAATTCCTGAGTTATTTCCTGGCTAGCAGCTTACCCTATACAGGATGGCAAAGGAGTATTTTCTGTCCTTTAGGGTGTCTTAAAATACCATTGAATAGGTAACATAAAATGCCATCTGTTAGCTTTATAGTGCACATCTAATGTAAGTTAGAAACCCTAAAAAAGAGAAAAAATCTCATGATAAATCACAGATCTCAATTGTGAAATGGGATCTAGCACAACGAAGATCAGCGATTCCAGTATTTATCCAAAACAGGCAGGTTTTAATTTAAAAGGCTGAAAATCACCTGGAGCCTGAAGTTCAGTAGGAAGTACAAATCAACTATCAAATAAGCTGATTTATGTCATTAAATCAGCTGTTAATGTCATTAAATAGCATCTGGAATACAGCCCCATGGTTTATTTATACAATGCAATGGGCTAACACTGTTTAAACTGCTGGACATATCATCGAAAATGCTGCAAAATAGGATTTATTATAACTTACATGCACGAGCGGTTGTCTTGTTGTTCTCTGAGAGAGAGAAAGAGGAAGGAAGGAGGGAAACAGGGAAGAGAAAAAGAAAACACGTTACTTTCTGTCTTTCTTGTAGGTTTTTGAATGAAGCTTTTCATACCGCGTTGGGGTTGTGGGTCATGTTTGGCGAAGGACAAATTGTGTCCAAAATATCTTGGTGGATATTCACTTAAATTTACTGCTGACATCATGCGAAATCACACAGAATTTACTAACTCAATCTATTGATATTGAAAGTGGAGAAAATGCAGAAATTATTTGTTTGTAGCATCATGAGCTGGTGATTCAGAGCTGAATCACGGCTTTTTCATAACCCAGCACCTTTCACAGATAATTCTAGACATAGTGATGTGATTTTTTAGTCAGACTATGCTAAGGATTCGGTACTGAATTACGAGGGGAACTTACTCCTGAGTTTATACGTTGCAGCAATAACCAGCAATATGCTCAAGAGGAGGATCACGACAAACGCGGCCAGCCAAGGGGAGGTGGCAGGAAAGAAAACATCTGCAAATTGTTCACATGAACATAAACATGAGTTTATGGACACAAACGCAAGTTTATGAAAGTAAATTGCCCTGCAAAATCAAGTTTGGGCCTGTCCTGAGATTCACTGGGATAAGAAACAACAGTTACTGCATCCACTGGGGTGGGTGGTGAGTATCTCTGTCCATCTTTGATGTCCCATTTCAGGAGGTGGATGGCCAATTTCAGCAAGGTAAGACCTCAATAGAAGACTGGAAAAATACCCTTAAGAGTGCCAGGATGCAGAAGAACCAACTTTCTTTGCTCTTTGCTGCTTTCTTTGCTCATCCCAAAATAGCAGCACAAATACAAGTCTTGACAGGGTCTAAATGTCCTCCAAAGCCGTATGCTCATGCTCAAATGAGAGCTGGTAGCAAAGCTGAAGACGTAGTTGCTATCATTACCTTCATTTTACTGGGAAGAACAGAGGAATAATCACTGAGGTTGTCATTTTCCAGAAGAAACTGGTAATTTCTGGCACCCCTTTGTCAACCATTGCAAGCGATTTACAGGAGAATTTGAATCATGCCCACCTGCAATGACGACTGAAGACTCTGTTGACGTTTTCAGCGTTTTATCGATTATTTTGCAGGACACCGAGTTTCCAGATCCGGGTTTTAGAAGGAGAGAGCTGCTGGCATTGGCATCGCTGGTGCCGTCATCGAGCGGCGTTCCCATGAAGTCTTCTCCTTTGCTGTCCGTCCACAACACGTGGACTTCATCAAACAGCCTCTCGGA